GTGTAGATATGGCCTAAGTGGGACTACCAGTAAAAGGAAATAGTAGGAAAAATTGTGGAATGGACTAAAATAATGAAGGTGAATTCTTCTGAAGAATTTTTCACTATGGTTATAGTATCAGAGGGATAGCCGTGTTAGTCTGGATCTGTAAAAAGCGACAAAGAGTCCTCTGACATCTTATAGACTAACAGACATATTGGAGCATAAGCTTTCGCGGGTGAATACCCACTTCGAAAGATGTTTGTCAAATGAATCTATGCATCCGAAGAAGTGAGGTTTTTACCCACGAAAGCTTATGCCCAAATAAATCTGTTAGTCTTTAAGGTGCCACCAGACTCCTTGTTGTTTTTGTAGATACAGACTAACACGGCTACCCCCTGATACTTGACAGGACTCTGTCGCTTTTCACTATGGTTATGTTTTAAGTAGCTAGATTGAAACAAGAATCCTTTCTAGAAGTGCTGAAAATGGGTTCTCAAAAATCAAATATGCCACTGAATTATGCTAGTAGAGTGCAAGAGATGAACAGACATATTTGATGATTCTGCAAATAAAACATTCAGTGTCATCAATAAGTAGCTACAGTGACAATTTAAGTTCCTTTACCAGACCTTCCAGCAGGTATCTGTTCAACATCATCTTGACTCATGAAGAGTCTCTACTCATCTTGATGTCCACAGGTCAGTTGAATTCAGAGTTTCATCAATCCTTATAAGATCTACACTCCTGTTCAGTCACCTCCATTATATTTAGTCCATTCAGACTGGTTTGGTTGCAGTGGTAAAACTTTAGGCTTGGTCATGAAATATCAGTATTGAAAGACAAATATAAAGATCTCATTAATTAGACAGCAGACTTGAGGAATGTGTTTTACCTGAAGTATTTTAGCTTTTCATTTTTGGCCATCTTTCTCTAGATTTCTCATGAAAACTACTACCTTTACACCTAGTAGAAAGTCAGACTAACTCATTGACGCCACATATCTAGCTACTGAGATTCCTAGTGATTGAATCTCCCCTCACAACAGGGTGTCTACAAACATAACCTACTCCTAGGGTGACTTCATTGAGTAAAGGATTATGAGACTTCTCTACCCCTAGCAGAAGGTGGGTTTGTCCTAGTGACCTAAGGAAGTTTGTCCATCTCTTTCACCATGGTTTCCTCCTATCATAAAAACAAATTATTTGAATGGAGGGTGCGGCAGCCAATCCACAGGTAGACCTGCTGTACAATATCCTACATAATGTCTAGAATTGTCCTTCTGCATCTCTGTCATCAAGATACTGTGCTTTTGCTCGGAGAGTCACACACTAAACCAAGTAGTTGTATGTTTTCCTCATTATGCAATAGACTGATTATCCCCCACCTGGAATAGTATGCTACTAGTATTCTACCTCCATAGTTAAAGTGGAGCTTTTACTTTGACAGGTTCTCTATTTATAAGCTGGGGCTTACTTTAAGTTGATTTTCTTAACTTTAGCCCGCTAATGATTATGAAACCTACTCCTCAAAGATTCATTCCCATTTTCTCTAGACTCTTATACCCTGTCAGTGCCTCTGTCTGGAGTCTCTGTGATTGTGCCTCTTGATAGCATTATGTTACTGGTACAAAGCACAAGGAATTTATTACTAAGGGACAGAGAGTTGGTCTTACCTATATATAGCTCACTCACTTCGAAAACACAGATTTAAGATTAGCTTTGAGCATTCATGGTCAAAATCACTTATAGCCCTAACAATTATTTAATACCTTTATAAAAATCCTGCTACATGGCTATCCTTCATTGAATGCTCACCTAAGAAGGCTCACATACAATACTGAAATTCTTTGGTATTTTCTATTGCAAACAAAAATTCATTTTTCATTTGGATTCTTATTTAGAACTATTGCTACTTAAATGCTTGAATCTAATAAAATGTATTATGATTGTTTGTTTTACCCACACTGAAGGCTGAATTCTGCAGCTGCGTTAGGGGTGGGGCGGGATTACTCCCCCTTTATGCTCCTGGATCCTAGCTTCAGTTGAGAATGAGGCCCCTGGTGCAAACTAGAAAAGTCAGTTGAACTGGCTTGCAATGTCTTTCAAGGGGCTATTCTACCAGCCAGGAATCTACCTGGTATAAGCTGTGCTCAGAACACTGTCTTTCCTCTGATGCACCCTTAATGCTGGATCAGAGAGATGAGGCACTTCTGCTGCCTCTTTGATTCTGCCACACTGAGATTCCTCTTTTGAAGGGGGGTCCACAACTGGCTGTTTAATCAGACTTTATCTTGCTTGAGCAAACCAGTTGGAATAAGAGACTAGGGTCTACCCCTGAAAATTAATGAAATTTTAGCTATGATATTCATGTATAGACAATGGAGACATTAGCAAAGGAGTAACATTGGAGAATCATCCCTTGAATATCCATGTGTGGAGGGTTGAAGTTGGTCACCTCCATGGCACCATTCCTACAGAATCTGCAGTTTCCTTCTGTACTCGTCAGCACCAATGGAACCCCTATCACTGGGGATCCCAAAGCAACCACTCCCAAAAGTGGACTAGGCAATATGATTCCATGGCCAGCCATGCTGGCAAGGAGCAGAGGATGGCTCTGAAGGGTCCTAGAGCCAGTGTAGAGGCACATGGCCTCTACAAGTATATCCCTTTCCCTTTGCCAGATTCCCTGAGGTCTGAGGGGTTTGGGTTCTGAATCCCCAACTTTGTCTGTGTCACAGCAAGAACATGATGGAGGAATTCAGGGGAAAAGTCTGAGAGGAGAAACCTGACAGACTGTTTCTCCCTCTGGGCCAGTCCAATGGGCTTTCCAATAGGAGAGCGTAATCTAGCTCATAAGAATGTCCACACTGGACCAGACCACTGGCCCATTTAGCCAAGCATTATATTTCTGACAGTGGGAAGTACCACATGCTTCAGAAGAAGATGTAAAGTCTCCACAGCGGATAATTATGCAGTACCATGTCTATGAGTGAAATTCTGTCCTAACCCCATTGAGTTAGCGGTTGGTTTATGCCCTAGAGAATGAGGGCTTGTACTCCCTAAATGCTTTTATCCTAGCCAGTTTAATTGTAGATAGAATTATTATTCATATAAATGTCTAGTCCTTTTTTTAATCCTATTACGACCTTGGACATAGTAAAGGTACATCTACACTGTAGCTGGAGGTATAATTGCCACCTCAGGTAGATATACACGTGCTAACCTTAATCAAGCAAGAGTGCTAAAAAATGGTGTGATTCTGGTGATGTGGGTGGTGACACAAGTTTGCTGCCCAATACATATCTAGAGTCTCTGATGGTATTGTACTTGGGTGGCAAACTTGTGCTACAGCACAGGTGTTTATATCAATTCTATTGTTTCACCCAGTATATAGACTCTGGAACAGTACTGCACTGGTTCATAATTGGAATATTTTATAACCAGAAACTTAGTTTTTAGAAGTTTGCCTTCTACAAAGTCTGGATGTCATATTGAAAGACTAAATCTTCTCCACTTAACTATACATAACAAGGTCAAAAAACTTTTGTCCTTTCCACTTGATATTTGTGGTTCTTAAGTGTGGGCAGAGAAACTGCTTAAGACTTCAATCCTGGCCACACACAAAAAAAAGCAGTCTCAGGCTTTGCTGGGAGAGGGGTTTTTATTTTAAGCTGCTAAATGTTAACAAAGAAAGATTGATTTTTAAGTATGTCAGGGTTGTAAAATTTGACATGAATAGTAAAAACACTAGTCAAATATCAGAGGGGTAGCCGTGTTAGTCTGAATCTGTAAAAAGCAACAGAGGGTCCTGTGGCACCTTTAAGACTAACCGAAGTTTTGGAGCATAAGCTCTCGTGGGTGAATGCCCACTTCATCAGATGCAAGGCATTCACCCACGAAAGCTTATGCTCCAATACTTCTGTTAGTCTTAAAGGTGCCACAGGACCCTCTGTTGCTTTTTACTAGTCAAATAGAACAGCAAGTCCCAGGGACATCACCCTGTGTAAAGTCCACCCAGTTTCTGAACTCCCCACTACTATGAAGGGAAAGGTGCTAACATTCCTACCAGAATGTTGTCCCTCGACCTTACATAGCAGCTCGCAGAAAAGAGAAGCTACTGACATGTATGTGAACTTTAGAGAGCCCCTTCCTCCTCCCTACCCCCGCCCACCTAGACTAGAAACAGTCTCTGCTACTCCATCCTTATATCCAAAGAACTTTTTTGATAAATGGTTTCAATACCCGTCTCCACTCACAGAACTCTCTGACTTCAGTTTTAAGATCAAGGCTCTCAATCTATTCAAACTACGTGCTACATTCTGGAAAAATGGATTTACCAGATCTCCAGTGGCAAATAGCAAATAGCCCTGGTAATTTGAGAAAGGACACTAATTCAATACCTTTGAATGAAAGTGCCTCCTCAGCCATGACTAGACACAGTACCAACATTAACTTGTAATGAAATCTGAAAAGCCATGTTTTAACAAAAAAAAAGTGGTTTGTTTTTATTAGTACTATTCCTACTGTTTTTATTTTTATCAGGACTACTCTTACTGTTTTTATCCCCTACCGATGCCCTCACATACTATGGTTGACAAAAAAAGTCACAAGACAGAAGCCATAAAAAAACTGACTCAATATTATAATGCTTATAAGTAGTAATCGGTGGTCTGGCGAGTTGACTGTTCACATAGTGCTGGTTTAACTACCATTTACAGTAAATGTGAAATCAGTTTTTTTTTTAAATCAGTACATTTATTGAACTATATAGAACAAAGGTGAGGTTATGCAAGTTAATTTATACAGATGTGTACACACAGCAATCTTTGTACTTTTTGATCTTGATATAAACCTGCATCAGAATGATGGCACTACAGCATTTCATTTTAAAATAATTTGCAATTTTTATCAATTTCCTTCTTGGTTGGGCTAAGGCAACATGTTAGGCTAAGCACTGCTACAGAGCTCAGTATTTGGAATCAAATATAATTGTGAGCATTAACTATACCAAGTACTCACTAGAGTTCCATCAGCAGATGACACTTTTTCATATGTCTTCCAAGCATTTGCTCTTACAATGTCTGACACTCTTAAAGTGTCACAAAGTGCAACAAAGTCAGTTTCTCCAAACTCAAGCCTAGGAGAGAGGGTGAAAAAGACTATTAGTCTGGTCTATAAGTAACAGGTTATTTTAAATGAAAATTCATCTCTGACATGGTTACAAAGAATAAAACATTAGATATCATCTGACACTTCACTAGATACAAAGCCCATTGTGTTGAGCATCCTAAAAAAAAAAAAGCTGGAAAAGTTACCTTGTACATGCAGAAGATAATATTTAGCAGTTTTAATGTACCACAATACTTACATAACTCAAACCTGGAAGTCACTTATAACTAAAGCCCTGCACGGATACAGAATTTGTATCCACATCTGACCCGCAAACATAGTCCATAGATATAAAGCGGATATCCGCAGATTTGCAGGGCTCTACTTATAACACCAAAAGCCCAGGAATGGGTTGAAGGAAGGTCATAGCCTAAAATTAGTAACTAACAGCATACCAAGATTGGAATAGCCCTAACAAAAAGTCAGAATTAAGACCGGGGAACTGGCCTTACATTAGAATGTCTAATTAATCCTGAAATTCTTGATACATGTACATCAGCTACCTGTAACAGAGAGAGAGGGGCAAATCCTTTTGTAGTGTGAAAAACTGCTCTGTCTTAATTTGCTATTTAGGGTGTACTGAGCATGCTCAGTAACATCTGCTGAAGTCACTGCCCTTCCTTGGCATCAGATTCTGCGGACTGCTTTTTGCAGGGGTTAAAAAGTGGCAAAGGGGGCAAATTGGAGGAAGGGGGTGGCCAGGGTGTGAGCAGGGGTCAGAAATTGACTGGGTGAGGGGGTTCAAGCAGCTGGAGACAGGGTTAGGATAAGGGCTGAAGAGCAAAATCAGGGACAGGGAGAGGGGGCAATAGGAGCCGGGGGTTAAGCCCACCGATGAGGCGCTGCCAGAAGGTAACAGAGGGCAAAACCCTGGCACAGGCAGTGGGGGTAACAGCTACCCAGGTGGATTGAGACACAAGTGTTTGCAAAAATGTGGGGGGGGGGGGAGGTCAGAGGGTCTTTTTTATTTTGTCAAAGGGGCTTTTTTATTTCCTCTCCCACGGGACAGTATGTCTCAGCATGGGGTTTCCAGGGCTGGGATCTTAAAGGCACAGGCATCCCAATGCCTAGTCATCACAGCTCCTCTGTCTGATGTAACCTAGGGTACGTCTATACTTACCTCCGGGTTTGGCGGTAAGCAATCGATCTTCTGGGATCGATTTATCACGTCTTGTCTAGACGCGATAAATCGATCCCGGAAGTGCTCGCCGTCGACACTAGTACTCCTGCTCCGCGAGAGAAGTACGCGGAGTCGACGGGGGAGCCTGCCTGCCGCGTGTGGACCCGCGGTAAGTACTTTGTAGTTCGAACTAAGGTACTTAGACTTCAGCTACGTTATTCACGTAGCTGAAGTTGCGTATCTTAGTTCGAACTGGGGGGTTAGTGTGGACCAGCCCTTACTGAGGTGCTGCAGAAGACTTGAATCAGTGAAATATTTTACCTATACCCCCTCAGAAACAAAGAATCACTTATCAGTGTATATGACCGCATAAAGTTTCACAGCAGTTCACAAATTTGTCTTATCTGCTGCTAGGATTCCCTAAATTACTATTAGCACCTCATCATTTACCTTTGTTATTGTGCAGATGCATATAATTGTGATATTTAATTTATATTTTAATAAATACTCATTGAAAACATGTATAAGTACTTGCTAGTAGTTTTAACATTGACATCTGTGTTTCTAGTATTGCACTAGATACGATTTTTACTGTGATTTCTAATTTGGAATTTTTCATTCTAACTTTTTCTTCTGTACCAGAAGACGGGAAAGGCAAGAGGTAGCAAATTAGGACAAGTTCGCAAATAAGAACACTCTTACATATCAGTAACTACTACTTGTTACAAGTTGCTATCTGTGTTCCAGTAGAAGCTTTGATCAAATAATAGTTTAATATCAATAACTTGCTACTGGTAGCAAATTACACCAGATAGCAGAGTTTTTTACAATACCTTATGTATCAGTAACTGCTACTGGTAGCAAATTAAGACAGATGGCAGTTTTTCACACTACCCGGGCTGGAGCTGTCCTTGGGACGCATGGGGGCCGAAGACCTGGAAGTGATCAGGAACCCAGGTAGGACCCAGCCTTCCATTCTGGGTTTGCACTGCCTGAATCTTTTAGTTGTTAACAGGTCAACACTAAGGTTACATCAGCATGAATTGCTTGACGCTTCGTCACTGCATGTGCCTCCAGTCAGAGCCAGGTCTTCAGCCGTCACATTTCACTATGGTGCGGTGGGTCTTTAGCTGGCTACAGCTGACACGTGCAGTACCAGCGAGGCTAAGGTAGCCTCCCACCTGGAGGACACTGTCCGTTTGACGGACAGCGGCGCGCGCGGAGTTTATACAGCCAGGGCAGCCTCTGCCCACGGGAGCGCCAGGGACCTACGGCGCTGAGCACCGCCTCAGCCATCACCTCCGGGACAGAGCAAGCTTCCGCGTCCGCCCGAGCAGAGCTGCCCTCACCCGGACATGCCCGGAGCAGCGGGAGGAGGGGGCGGCGCCGCGGGTGGCAGAGCCCCGGGCAGGCAGCGGAGCGCCGAGGATGCCGGGCTGGGAAGAGGCGGAAGAGGCGGCTGGCCGGGAGAGGGGAGCTGCGACTCTCACCTGGCGGCGGCAGGCGGTGGGGTGCCGCCAGTGCCGCGGTCCGGGCTGGCTCGCTGGCCCTTGGCGGCGGCTCCCCCCTTTCGGGGGGGCTTGGGCGGCATGTCGGGCCCGCGCGCGGAGCCACCGCAACTGTTGGGTCAGAAGTTTAAATGTCCACCGAGGCGGGGAGAAAGGAAACGGACAAACCGGTTCACCGTCGCAGCCGGGACCGCTCAAACCGCGGGAAAAACGTCACGTCCGACCCGCCTACGGGGCGGAGCGTACGCGTCACTTCCCAGCCCCCGCTCGTTTCAGAGCGGGGGGAGATAGAGCGTATTCAAAAGAGGGTGGAGCCTGCGTACAAGAATGAGGCTGAGAACCCGGAAGAGGAATTCGGAGTCTTGGCAACAGAGGCTCCAGCGCGAGCCGTTCAGCCAATAAGCTCACCCACTTCTCTTAGCCAATAGAGGAGCCGCTGCCGTCTCTGCGTTCTCTGGGCGTGGAGTAGGGACCTGACCTTGAGCTAACTCGGGGCTGGGCCTCGCCCTCGCCCTGACTGTCGCCTTAACGGCGACCTGTATGGGAAACGCACGGGCTGGGGCTCTCCCGGCCCGGCTGCTGCCGCCCCGGGGATGCCCAACAGGCGTTGCTCCTTTTGGTCAGTTAGTTTTTGCTGCCAGTTTGGTGCATTAGAAATTTAAATCTCGTCTGCCGCGGCGGCGACCGGAGAAACGCGACAGAAAGCGGAGAGGTGGGGTGGAGAAGGGAACCGGAGTCACACCGCTGAAGATGGCTGGGGTTCGTTTGGTGTTTTAATATCATGTAACTCCAGTGGTTACCGGACCCGTGGGAGAAGTGACGTCAGCACCGACAGCTCTTCAAATAAGGGAATTGTGCTCACAATACACTCCGCTAAGAGCCTAAGAAGTCCTCCAGCAGACCCAAAGGAGACCAGCCTTTATAGTCATGCTATGTCAGAAGTAAAAAACAAGTAGGGGGAAACAACAAATTTAAAAAAGTTATACAGGTCTTCATTATATATTATAATTGAATTCCCCCTCCCCCCCCGATCTTCGTGAGAGCAATGCCTTATATTGACTGGTTTCAGAGTAGCAGCTGTGTTAGTCTGTATCCGCAAAAAGAACAGGAGTACTTGTGGCACCTTAGTTAGTCTCTAAGGTGCCACAAGTTCTCCTATTCTTTTTATATTGACTGTAAACCTAAAATCAAAGACATAAGCCTCCATTCACCTGTGTGCACCTGTGGCTGCTTTGCACTGCTCTGGTGGCACAGAGACTGATATCTCAGAGCTAGAAGATCTGACCATTGGAGGAGGCCCTAGCAGAGAGGAATCCTCGGTTGGCATAGTGCCACCAGAATAGGAGATGAGGCCACTAAACCTAGGTATGGCTAAGATGTTCTTGCAGTGGAGATCTTTGCCTAAAAGCTAATGGAGTAAGAGACAGCAGAAGCAGGCTCTTATCCTCCATAGTGACTGGTTCACAGAGGGGGACGAGGACTTTGTTAGTGTGATTCACAGCTATTTGCTAGATAGTCCAGGAATAGTGTGATGTAGAAGGCCTGAGTTCTATTCCAGGTGAGAAAAATTGCAGTTTGCACATCCTCAGAGACTTGATTATATTTGTATTAAACACGCTCCAGAATTTTAGCTGCCAAACTTTAACAAGTCTCTACTGAGCCAGATTTGGGTAGATTTTCATGGGGACACTAAAGGCACTAGAGCGACCCAGTGCTAAATTTCAAGTCCCTGCTCCAAAGATGTATAAACAGAGAAATCTCGAATAGGAGTAGAGAAGTTATTTTACCTCTGTATTTGGCACTGGTGTGACCACTGCTGGAATACTGTGTCCTGTTCTGGTGCCCACAATTCAAGGATGTTGATAAATTGGAGAAGGTTCAGACAAGCCACAAGAACAATTAAAGGATTAGAAAACATGCCTTACAAACTTTTTCTGGTGACTCAGTTGAAGAAAATTGTTGATGCCCTTTAACCAGCAGAGCTGGGGATGAGGGGTTGGGGTGCAGGGGTGAGGGCTGGGGCTGGGAATGAGGGGTTCAGGGTGTGGGATGGGGCTGGGAGTTGGGGTGTGGGAGAGGGTCAGGGCTCAGTGCAGGCTCTGAGGATGAGGGGTTTGGGGTACAGGAGGTGGCTCTGGGTTTGGGGGGGGGCTCAGGGCTGGGGATTGTGGCACGAGCTTAACTCAGGCGTCTCCCAGTCAGCGGCGCAGTGGGGGTGCTAAGGTAAGCTTCCTCCCTGTCCTGGCACCACGGACAGCGCTACGCCCCGGAAGCAGCCAGCAGCAAGCCTGGCTCTTAGGCGTAGGCATGCAAGCAGCTCCATGTGGCTTTTGACTGTAGGCACTGTCCCCCCCTCGCCCCCCCCCAGCCAGTGCTTGGGGCAGGGGCAGCATGCAGAGCCCTGTGGGCCCCCCCAGGAGCTGAGGGACCTGCTGCTGGCTGCTTCTGGGACACAGCGAGGTGTCAGAACAGGTAGGGACTAGCCTGCCTTAGCCGGGCAGCACCGGCAACAGGACTTTTAACGGCCTCTATATGCATCCGAAGAAGTGGGTTGTAGCCCACGAAAGCTTATGCTCTAATAAATTTGTTAGTCTCTAAGGTGCCACAAGTACTCCTGTTCTTTTTGCGGATACAGACTAACACGGCTGCTACTCTGAAACCTCACATACATGTATTCTCCATCCGCTGGAGCAGTGGAACACATATGCACAAGCCAGTCCATCACTTTGCCACAGCCAGGTCTCTTCTCTCAGGCCTCGTCTATAGAGTTTTTGTACCAGTATTACTATTTTGGTTAGAGGTGGGGGTTGTTTTGTTTTTAAAAACACTGAAATAGTTATACTGGTATACCTCCTTGGTATGGACAGTTATATTGGTATAAAGGTGCCTTTTACCAGTGTATCTTATTCCCTTGTTTATATGGGAATAGCTATACCAGTATAAAGCACATTGATTCAGCAAGATGCAGTTATATTGGGTATAAGTTTCACATGGACTGTCTGAGGAACCTGATAAGATGGCAAGACAAAGTTCCAGATACTGAGATTCTCCTATGGGGAGGTATTCAAAGCATCCATACTTTGTTGATGAAATCACAGATGAGATGGGCAGGCCATATCACCAGAATGTCAGATGAACTACTGACAGAGACATATACTAAAATTGGAACGATACAGAGATTAGCATGGCCCCTGCGCAAGGATGACACGCAAATTCGTGAAACATTCCATATTAAAGTAGCTGTGGCTGAGTGGTTAAGGTGATGGACTAGTAATCCATTAGGGTCTCCCTGCGCAGGTTTGAATCCTGCCAACTACAGAAGCGTTTGAGTGATCTCGTTGTGGGCAGGAGGAATAGCTCAGTGGTTTGAGCATTGGCCTGCTAACCCCAGGGTTGTGAGTTCAATCCTTGAGGGGGCCATTTAGGGTCTGGGGATTGGGCCTGCTTTGAGCAGGGGGTTGGACTAGATGACCTCCCGAGGTTCCTTCCAACCTGATATTCTATGATCTTTTATGGTGAGCTAAAGGAGGAAAAGGGCTCTTAAGGAGGCCAGAAGAAATATTTCAAGGATTCTCTCAAGTTATTCTTGAGGCATTTCAACATTGACAAGAGTTTTGAAGAGATCTCGCCCATGATTGTTCTACCTGGCGAAGCCTCATCATTGCTGGAGCTACAGTCTATGAGGAGAACTATTGAGGCAGAGCAGAAGCGCCAGCAGTGTAAATCACGCAAAAGCAGCATGTCCGCTGTTAATCAAGTAACCCCTAGCAGCATCTCTTGTTCAGTGTGCCATAGACAGTTGAAAGCTGAAATTGGCCTGATCAGCCATTCACGTGTTCACAGAAACCAAACTAACCAGTGATGTCATAGTCATCTTCGAATGCGAAGGACAAACATCATCATCCACACTAGGGGGAGTTGAACCACTTTAGTTATACTAACATAGTTAAAGCAGTAAAATTGTATATATAGACAAGACTTAAGATATCTCATGGCTTTCTTCAAAGTTGCAAAGTTTGAATTATAGGTTGGAGGAAGATTTGAAGCTCTTTAAATTTACAAGTCCAGTGTGGTAGTTAATTGCTGCCAATAAATTACCTGGTGTGAATAGTTATTGGACATCAGGAAGTTGAATGGAACATACTAGAGAGCAATACAGGCCTCACCACAAAATAAACACTGCAGCACATAGTAATGGTAATACTTCTGTGCTCCGAATATATTAATCTCAAAGTATGTCATAACAATGGGATTATTTTTGGTTAAAAAGGAAGCTTTCAAAATATTTAGGTATGTTTCCAACTTCCAGTAAGAAAATCAAACCCAAGTTAAGCCAGAGAGGGGTGGTTGGTGGACAAGAATGGTGAGGTACACTCCCAGTCCCGGGACAGTTTTAAAAACTAGAGTTTTAATAAAGTTAGTATAAAAAAATACATAACCAGCCAACCAAGCACAGCTTGAACAAGCCCCATTGCTTCTCAGTCCTTTCAGAGTGAAGCAAACTCTGCTGCTGCAACCAAAGCTGACCCTTTTGATCCCCTTAGCAGATCTTCAATCCTTAGAGGCACAGGATGCAGGTAAACCTAGATCTGATATTTGCTTATGAGTATTACATGTACACATTGCATAAGTGAAAGTGTTGAGTGCGTCAGGTATTTTAAAAGTAACAGTAAAAATGGTCAGTTTTACTCCCATTTTCCTGGGAATAATTTTGAAATAAATGTGTTTTGCTCAGTATAGCACAGCATTCATGCTCATCCTTAGAAAACAGCAACCGTGGTTCCTACTGTTCTGGCTATAGTTTTGCTTGGTTAAAACGAAACAAAACATATTTGATTAGAGGCATTGTGCACTGATGGGTCTATTTAAGGTGACATCAGGCATCAAAATTTATCACATATCATCATCCCCAAAATCTGAAGTCAAAAGAAAGCTCCAGACACTGAGTAACAACCAAGGAGCTGTACTGGGACATGTGCTGTTCAACATAATCATAAATGATCTGGAAAAGGGGGTAAAGAGCGAAGTGGCAAAATTTGCAGATGATGCAAAATTATGTCCAAAGCAGATTGAAAGGCATTACAAAGGGATTTCACAAAACTGGGTGACTGGACAACAAAATGGCAGATGAAATTCAATGTTGATAAATGCAAAGTAATGCACATTGGAAATCATAATCCCAACTATACATAATGGGATAACTATACATGATGGGATCTAAATTAGCTGTTACCGCTCGAGAGAGATCTTGGAGTCATTGTGGATAGTTCTCTGAAAACATCCGCTCACTGTGCAGTGGCAATCAAACAAGCTAATAATGTTAGGAACCATTAGGAAAGGGATAGATAATAATACAGTAAATATCATAATTCTACTATATAAATCCATGATATGCCAACACCTAGAAAACTGCAAGCAGTTCTCGTCACCCCATCTCAAAAAAGAATTGGAAAAAGTACCAAGAAGGGCAACAAAAATGATTAAGGGTATGGAACAGCTTCCATCTGAGGAGAGATTAAAAAGACTGGGTCTTTTCAGCTTGGAAAAGAGATGACTAAGGGGGGATATGATAGAGGTCTATAAAATCACGAATAGGGTAGAGAAAATTAATAAGGAAATGAGTTATTTACTCCGTCACATAACACAAGAACCAGTGGTCACCCAATGAAATGGATAGGCAGCAGGTTTAAAACAAACAAAAGGAAGTATTTCTTCACACAACGCACAGTCAACCTGTGGAACTTGTTGCCGGGATTGTTGTGAGGGCCAAAACTATAACTGGGTTTAAAAAAACATTAGATAAATTCATGGAAGATAGATCCATCAATGACTATTCGTCAAGGTGGTCAAAGGACGCAACATCATGTCTGACTGCCAGACGCTGAATGATGACACGGCTCACTCAATGATTGCCTGTTCTGTTCGTTTGCTCTGAAGCAACTGGCATTGGCCACTGTTGGAAGACAGGATACTAGGTTAGATGGACCATAGATCTGACACAGTACGGTCATTATTATGTTTTTACAAGGTTAACCATTATCTTTTGTGGAAAATGGAAACAATATGCACGTGAATCAGCAGGAGACATGCTTCCAAGCACATCAACATGACTCATGAAAAACATAGTTCCAAGAATGAACCATTAGCCATTTCCTGGCTTTTATTTCATTTTTTTTGCAAACGCACAAAATACAACATCCTGAAAATTTTTAAGTTAAATTATCCTTAATGGTTTTTTTTACTAATTTTCATGTTTGCCTTATAATATCAAAAATGGGCTAATCTCTTTTCAGAAGTCATGATTATTTAGATTTCCTACCACATATGAACATATCCATTCTAAGAATAAACTGTCAATTAAACCAACTGTAGAATAAATAGATTACATTGTATACTTAAGAGAACCTTCCTCTACAGTAAATATTTTTCCCTGACCCAAAGCATTCACAATAGCAGGAAGCTTGCTTGCAGAGTGTTTACAATAGCAGGAAGCTGTTCTGAATCCACATAATGTATCCTCCCACAGTATTAATAAAAGATCATTTAAGAGATAGAAAGTAAGAGAGAACTCAGTTCAGTTAAGAAACTTTATATTAATGTAAGATACAGACTCCCATAATATTACATTATTTTTAAAAATAGGCATACATCAAGCAGCTAAACATTGGCATATTTTCCCTAAGTATTTCTGCTTTCTAATATATCAATGTCCAAAAATCAATATAGTAAATAGGGTCCAGTTCCCTTGCCCATGCCACAGCTCAAAAATGGATCTTTGGAGGTTCTCCTAATAGCCTTTTTATGGGAGGTAGCGTACTTTTTTAACTGAATCCAGCCTCAAAATAGCAGTAAGGAAAACAAATAAGTCTTGGGCCAGAAATTTGAAACTTACATGCTTAGAGTCCATATTTGAGCACCTAAATAAAAGTGACCTGATTTTTAAGGATTATGAGAACCTACAGTTTCTATCGGTTTCTCTGGGAGTTGTGAGTGCAACACTCATGGAGAAGGGAAGAGAAAATTAAAAAAGAAAAAAAAATCAGGCCACTTTTACTGTAGGTGACTAATTATGAATTTATGGACCACGTCCTCAGCTGGCATACATCAGTCTATCTCCAATTACTTTAATGGAGCTAAGCCAATTTACACCAGTTGAGGACGTGGGCTTAAGTGTCTAACTTTGGGCTCCTAAAGTTTGAAGTTTTATTCTTAGTTTTTAGAATTCAAGTGTTTCGTTTGTCTGTGATAAATACAAGATATACATAAGTAAAAAACATTGGTTTTAAAAAACAGTTTTAGAAAAAGTTAACATCTTAGGTAATCTTATACTAAGATGTTTTTATATGAGGGAAAAGTCATCAGAGCTTCTTTCACAGGGAATCTTTGTATTTGTATTTTATCAAAGCTGCAAACATATCAAGGCTTCATGTGCTTTATTAAAAACTGATCATTATATAAAGCAGTTTAACACTGATGGCCAACAACCTTGCTAATACACTTCATACCTTTGCAGTGGCTGACACAATCCTATCTCCATAATTAGTATGAATGCTTTGTATTCTACAGCTATTGAATGCAATATGCAGATTTACAAATATACAATGACGGTAAATTATGGTGATATAACAAGAGTTTATTAAAAATTAACCAACTATGATGAGTAAGCCAACCTTAGGTCTTCTCTTATTATGGTATGTGCAGTGTAAAAAACACACAATTTAAATGGGTAGCACAATACTCATTTTAAATGAACAGCCAAAATGAACAGTGTGCTTCTTGTTGATCTTCCATATTACAATAATGTACTGTATTTTGATTTAATTTCACCACTCATCTAAGAAAGCTATTGGTGGGACAAATCATCTAATTCGGTCAAATTTCTGGAGAATATATGGCTTCATTCATGTGGAACAAGCATTAATTTTCCCCCTAAATTAATTATAGCAAAAGAGAACCCAAGAAGACTTTTAGACAAACAGGTTTGTAAGATTTATTTTCCATTGCACATACATGGATTATATAAAAGTTAGTAACAAGTTACTGCTTAATTTCCTTACATTTTCTAAAGATAGTTACAGCAGACACTTGCCATATTAAAACATCAAGTCAGAAATCAATTTGAAAAGGTAAATATGACAAGATTTAAAAAAACCAAATTGCACATTTTAGTGAGGAGAAATTCAAATATATGTTTATCTATATACTGTAACAAACTATATAGCTTAGAATATTACAGTTAGAAGTAGTTCTTTCAGTCCATTTGTACATATTTTTCTCCAGATTAATAATTCTTTTCAATTTTACTTAATTAAAACTGGCAGATATTTCAGAGACTTTATCTTCCTCGTAGTATTCAAGATTCATCACATGAAATGCACTAGTAACTAAGACTTTATACAATTGCTATTCAAATATAAAAAGGGCACCACACTTGAAAATAAGAAAAAACCCTAAAACATATTTAAAATTTATCATGAGATGAAAAGTGTTTAAGATGTTCAGCAATAAAGCCCTGTCCACTACTTACGTAAAAGAAGATTTAAAAAAATAATCACTGCACACAATACAAAGTGGGATCATACTGTAATCTTTCAGTCTTCTGTTACAGTAATATTCTCCATTACTGTTCACAAATGAGTGTTTCTATAGCAAACCTATTCTCAAAGTGTCGAATCTTTCGGCAATTGGTGGCTTCACGCTTTTGAATTCCTGTTGAGAGTTTGGGGAAATGGGGGAGGAAGGGATGACAAATGAGAGAGAGTGATGCATATTAATGGAAGAATTAAAGTATTAGTCCATTTACTGCAATAAGAAGGTACCAGAGGTTCCTCTCAATTCACTTTCAAATCAGAAGCAAATTTATCAACACTTTAGTGATCTATTATTTACTTGTGTCCCTTATTTATAACGGGATCAATTAAAGTGTTCATGTTTTTAAAAAGATTGTTTGCAATCATTTTTCCCATCTGCCACCTTCCCAAACACAGTCAGCAATCTGACTAAGTTACTCAATTAATTTAGTTCAGTGTATGCTTGTAAACTTCTCCTTCTACATTAAACAAATACTGAACAACAACTATAATACTTCACTTCTCTAGACGCTTGAATCTGAGATTTTCAAAGAGCTTTCCACAGACAAATAATATACCTTTTACAAGATCCCTGTGAGGTAGACAAGTATTATTCCTATTTTACAAATGCAGACTATGAGGCACAGAGCAGTTAAGTGACATGGCCAAATTTGCACAAAACATCTAGGACATATCAATTTTCAATTCTGTCCTTTGGCCATAAGACCATCCTTCCTATATATGAAAAATTGAACCATAAAGTGTGTACGTGTTTAACTATTCTGATAGTTATAGTTACTGATGGTAAAGGCCACTATTATTAGCTTTGTGTTATTTATATTGCAGCTGACTGAAAATCTTCTGCCAAAACACTTTTTCAACACAAAATGGTTTTTCAATTAAACAATCTCAGAAAATTTTCATTTTCTTAAAAATCCTTTTCAAGTTTGGGGGTGGGGGATTCAATGAAAATTTAAAGAAAAATTAGTGGGGAAAAAGGTCATTTTATATTGCATTCATGCTTCAAGTCTTCATTCAGGATTAATACCCCATCATGCTAATCTCTGTGTAAACACTCAGGAGCTTCAAGGAGCCAATGACAGCAAGACCACTCTAAATTTTAATCTGAGAGGTATTGTCTTCAACATATCCAGCTATTTATTGACTAGAAACATTAACTTTTCCATCAACACAAGATAACATTCTCAAGAGACTTTACCTTTCATGGTTTCTTTGCGCTGTAGTTTATAGGTTTCCTTGCCACGGCACAGACGATAAATAAAGAACCCCAACTGATCCACATTTTCAATGCGATCAGTAACAATCATCTGTTCATGAATCAGATAGGACTGAGGCAAGTATGTTCCAGCCTATATTAACAAAAAGGCAACAGCTCATTATTAGAAGTGCAATCATTCATTCTTCTGCTAAGTACACACAAGATAATTCAAATCAATTTTATATATTCTCAAACAGCAGCAGTTCTATACAAACGAGGATTTGCAGCTTTGCAGACTTCCAAAATATATAGTACATACAGAATTTTCTTTTAAACATCAGGAATGTGACTGCATTTTAGTGCAGTTATTTAAGAGCTAATAAAATAATCCTATAAAATGTCAACATTTTCACAGCAGGAGACATTGACATATAGTGTCTTCCATTACAAAAATTAAATCTATATCAGTTTTTTTTCCACACAAGAGAAGCAAATTTTCTCCAATTAAGGTTCGTCACTGTGGGCCAAATCTTGCAGGCTTTACTCACCAAACACTATCACTTACTAGGGAGTCAATTGTTTCCAATACAAGCTCTGTCCAAGTAAAGACTGCAGAAATGTGCAGGAGGTTAGTACTATCTTGCTGATTGATGGAGGTCCCAGGGATCAGTAGTTTATTACTATCCTTCTGCATTCTGTTAAGTTTAAAATAGGGGGATCCCAAACATTTTCATAGCACAGGCCACAACTTAACGGACAGTGAATGGGAGGATAGATGGTCCACAAGACAATCACATAACATCCTTGTGGCAACTATACCAATTGTTTAAATAAAAATATATTAGAAAGTATTTTTTCCTGTATGTTTGCTTTAAGGTCAGCTATTACCAGAAAGTAAGGAAAGCCCAAAAAATGTGACTATTGAGCTCTCCAGAGACCACCAGGAAAAACTCTGCAGACAACAGTTCAGAAAGCTGGTTCAGAAAACAGAACTATGGCCCCATTCCTCGTCCATTTGGAGTCCACAAGAGTTTTGCCATTGATTTAAAAGAGAGTACCATCAGGCCCTATTGTGTGCTTCTGTCAAAGTAGAAGATTCACAGAAACAAAAATTAGCAACTTTATTGAAAGTTGACTTTATTAAAATGTTATCCACAAATAAATCAATCGGTCTTTCTAAAATGTGACTGAGTAGAAAGATTCCATTTAGTATAATTCCTATTTCTGACATTAATGAGAGGGAGTTTTTAATCTATTTTTCACTTGTGAGTTCAAACACTTAAGCTACTTTTAAAAAGCACCTTGGAATCCAAAGAAACTGCTGCACTGCATCCAGAAAACTACATTAGCATAGAATTTAGTGTAGCTGACTAAAGATTTTTATTTTTATTGTCGATAAGCCACTTATGAGTTTCTATTACAAACCAGAGATTAAGGACAACAATATTTTTTCAGTCCAAGCAGCATGTTTAAACAAGCTGATTAAGAGCTGTTCTTTTTAGCACCAAGGTAGTGATTATATAATATTTACTTTGAAATGTAAAAATATTTTTGACCACATCTAAAGAGGCAAACACAGGTGAATTTTTTTTTCAGCTGACCTCGTAGTTCATTAAACAATGAAAAGCCTTGTTATTTAAACAAATAATTTATAAGTTAAAGACCTTCCAAGTTCAGGTGGAAAAAAAGTTTGTTTTCCACAGAAAGAAAATAAAGATTGTTACAGTAGAGATATTGCATATTAAAAGTACACCATATCGTAAACTGCAATCTAATAGAATATAGAACATAAGAAAAACAGATTGCTCTCTACTGTAGTTGAAGGAAATTCTACACTCTCACTTAAGTACTTTAATTGCATACTACAGATGGGGAAAATCATAGCTATAAATTATTCTTGCAGCATATTTGTCCATATACATAGATGCATAGAGTTTAAAGCCAAAAGGGACCATTAGATCATCTAATTGGACATCCTGTATATCACAAGCCATTAAGTTTCACGCAGTTTTATCCCTGTACTGATCCCACCAATTTGGGGTTAGCTAAAGTAGATCTTTCAGAAAGGCATCTAGTCTTCACTTGAAGAGATCAAAAAATGAAGAATCCAACACCTCCCTTGGTATTTTGTTCCAATAGTTAGTCACCCTCATTGTTAAAAATGTGTGTCTTATTTTGAATTTGTCTGGCTTTAACTTAATGGAGAAAACCTAATGAGAACCAATGGCTGTAAGTTAAAGAGCCAAGTATGGCTGTAAGTTAAAGAGCCAAGTATTACTTATATACTGTAATCAGGCTTAGCAGAATTCTGTTTATTTATAATTTGAACAAACAGTATCTAAGGTTTTTTTATTTTTATCTATTTAAATTTTCACAGTTGTGGGAAATTATGGGAGTGTCCAACAATAACTATGTAATGACAACAATTGTTGATTCAAATATTTAAAGCTTTATAACTGTTAAAACACAAATTGTCAACATCACATGTAAAAATATACAAAGTAAATATCCTTAACATCAGATTCTAATAGGTTTTCAAGCAGTATTTTTTACTTTGCCTATCTGAAAATTTTTTCATTGATGGAAATATTTTTGTTGGTTTGTGTGTGTGCTGAAATCGATGTTTACTGATAAAAATCTAATCCTTCCAAGTCTAACTGTAATCAAGTCACCTCTCAGTCTTCTTTCTGATAAACTAAACATATTGAGTTCCTTACTTCTTTCAGTGGAAGGCACTTTTCTCCAGCCCTTGAATAATTTTTTGTGTGAAGACTAGAACTCTATAGACTAGTATCCCAGGATGAGCCTCACCAATGCCATGCACAGAAATAAAATCACCTCTCTACTCTTACTCCTCTGTTTATACATCCAAGGATTGCATTAGCCCTTTTCCCCCACATCTTCACACTAGGATCTTATATTGAGTTGCTTTCCAGGATGCAGTCCCCCATTCTGTAGGTTTAGATTGCATTCCTTGTTCTAAATGTATAACTGCATTTAGCTGTATTAAAACACTTTTTGTTTGAATGGGCCCAGCTTACCAAGGGGACCAGATCGCTTTGTATGACTGCCTTGCCCTCATCATTATTTACCAGTCTCCCAATCTTTGTGTCATCCACAGATTTTATTAGCGATGACTTTATATTTATTTCCAGATCACTGATGAAAATGTTGATTAGCATCAGACCTAGTACTGATCTTTGCAGAAACCCCCCTTGAAACACCCCCATTCAAAGATTCCCCATTGACAACTACTTTTTGAGATCTGTCCATTAGCCTATTCTTAATCCATTTAACGTGTGCTTTATCAATACTGTATAGTGCTAATTTTTTAATCAGACTGTCATGCAGCATTAAGTCAAATGCCTCATAAAAGTCTAAGTACTCTACATCTCTGCAGTTACCTTTAATCAACCAAACATGTAATCTCATCAAAGAATGACATCTTTCTCTATTCCCAAATCTATAATTCCTTTAAACTGAACTCCTCTGAAGATTTAAGTTCTTTAGTGAGGAGTTAACTTTTCGAAAGCACTTCTCACATGTGAACTCCAGGGCTTGTGAAAATAATATGAACATGTTTCTCTTTATTATATATAACAAAACCACCTGCAATTCAACCATACCTTTATATTGATCAGCAACTCCAAGAAATTTTTTGGTGGCATAACAACTGAAGTGTTTAGAGGAATCACGTAGCACTTATCCAAGCTAAGGTCGAGGTAGGCTGTGAGTCTCTGGTGAAGAAATACATATTCTAATCAAAATCATTTTAATAATTCTAGGGTTAGCAAAACTGTTAATATTATGCTCAATTACTGTTATATACTTGTTCTTCCTGTAAGCTGCAGTTCTGTTAGTTAAAAGGCATGTTCTAATTTATTGAGTTTGGTGGTGGGATAGAGATAAAAGGCAATCCTAATATCAGGTTAGCGAGAACAGAGATTTCTGCAAGTCAATAGGTACTAGGTAGTTCAGACTTTTCAGTGCATCTGAGCTGTCAGAGGTTAAGTGCAGTATTTATTTAGTCTTGTTGCTTGTATTTTAAAATTTCAGGGAGAAATCTGAAAGTACAAATCTCCCTTTCAGAGTTCAATGAAACATGACTGGAAGAGAAAACACAATAGAAAATATCAGATGCTATACATAAACATATTTTATTCTTCCAAAATACTGTGCAGTTGAAATGCTAATATACTGATATACAAAAATACAAAAAAGTGTCAAACTTGCAGAATCTACATTTTAAACCAGTAATTTATGGTCTCTGGATTATCCAAAGGGTAATATTTGCAATAGTTTATTAAACTATAACTCTAATAGATTCTTGAACTAGACTGAAAGATCTTGAGGCACCATTAACTAAATTGTTTTTGCTAAGGAAGGGCAATATATCATGTTCAAGTGTTCAGTCTTGCAACATCCAACATTTTTTGAGAGTACCGTATTAAATACAAAGAACTAAGGGCCCAATCCTGCAAACACTATCGAGCATAATGATTAGTACTATGACTAGTCTAACCGTCAAAGGAGCAAGTACTTTGCTTATAGCAAGAGTTTGCAGCATTGGACCTTAAGTTAACAAAGCATTAAGGCTGAAGAATAATGAAGTATAAAATGTGAGGGTCTTACAGTCACATTACATTTTATTTTCTATTGCTATTTTTTTCCTCATACAGCTTCACGTTTCTTATAGCCTGATCCAATGCCTAACAGGAATATTCCTATTCATTTCATTATCTTCAGTGGACATTGGATTAGGCCTTAAATGCATACTACAAAATATATTTATCATCTATAATATTTCTAAGGCTCCTCTCACCATGGTATCACATCTGTGTAGGATTTGCATTATGCCAAGTTATCATTGCTGTGGGAAATACCTTGGTCCTTCCTATTTTTATTTTATTTAATTATGCAACATCAATATTATACAGAATTGAAATGGGTGCTGAAGGTCAGACCTCACTTTGGCATATGAGGTGCCAGCCTTTATTTCTGTCATGCCAAGTAGAGAAAGTGTGAAGTGTGATGTGAAGGAAGCTCTGCTGTAAATCTTAACAAATGTTTACTGAACATATTTAGAAATAAATTTTTCTAATCACCTGATTATTTAACCAATGTTTTTCCCAAACTAGCTTATGAATGTTAGGCAAAATGAGCACTAACTATTAACTTCATGTTTAGACACGTTTGAGTTCATACAAAAAGAGCGTGGCAATGATTTTACACAGTAGGAAAGTGTGCTTTTTTTCAGCCTTGCATAACACAAAAATAGCTCAACAGTTTTTCCTCAAGCTTTCAGCAGCAGCAAGAGTCACATTTCAGTGAAACCAGGCGTGGACTATTTAAGCATAATGGGATAATTTTCAGAAAGCGGAGAAAGAAAATGGGTTTTTCCAACTTTAACTATGATCACTGAGAGAAAGCTGTAGCATTACAGGGATGTCTTGCAAAAATTTTACTACTAAGATGTGCAACAAAGATACGTATTGACAAAAGATAGAATAAAAGTACTTCAGTAGTGCTCAGTCATGCCTTTAAAATCAGTGAGTGGCCTGTGGTGGAGGCAGAGTGCCTCCTGAGAGCTCCCAAATGCCCAGGGTGGGGTCTGGCTGCTGCCATGCACCTTAAAGTGAATAGAGAATGTACTGCCCTCCACAGCCCATCAGCCATATCCTTGCCTTTTTTGCTGTCCCCTTTGGAATGGTTAGCTTCACTGAAAGCACTACTGGATGATAGTCTTTGAGCTTAGGTAAATACAAGGACTGTGAATATGACCAGCCCCTGCACATGGGTGTCCAAGGGAATAAAGGCTTCTTCCACCCTACATTCATCTCTACTGTTGCTGATCACAATCTGGCTTCATGTATTTTCAGCAATAAGATTAAAATTTTCTTCACGTTCTTGTATTATGACAAGGAAATGGACGTGTTTGGGTTTTTTCCCCTCTCTTTTCATGAACAAGAACACTTTATAAATGGTGGCTTACAGACCAGGAGAACAGCAAGTTTATCATCAAATGTGCACTCTGCACACAAGGTTTAATAATTACTTTCAGTTTCTGAATACCAAAATACTGCAGAGCTCACAATTTCACACCAGTAAAATAACTGAAATAATTAGAAACCACACAGATTAAGTTAAAAAAAAAAATAAGCGTTCTGAATTTTTTTGTTTTTGTTTTTAAATGCTTTCAAGGATTCTCAGCAGACATTCCTTACCCGGTGGAAATCATGAACAATGTCTGCTGGATCACTGTCAGCAAATTCTGGGACAGGCACACTGATGAATTCAACATCCTCCTCCTCAAGGATCTGAACGTTTTGCTCAATTGTCTGGTAGCGAGCAACTGGAGCACGTGCATCAGGCTCAGTCAGAGTTAAGTCATCTTCAATATATTTTATTCCACAGAAATACACACCACCTTGCTAAAAAATAAATAAAATAACCTCAAAACAAACAACATTTCAGCAAGTTTATAAAAAAATTAAAATGTGACCAACTACTATGCAAGCTTCCTCAGATAGCGATGTCACTGCACCTTAAACTCTACTCTACACCCACACGGCTCTTCCATTCTCAAACTTCTCCTGAGCAGACACTGCCCATCATCAAGCTAAATTACATGTTTTTCTGCCAATTTATTTAATTCATAAGCCTACACTGGATCAATTTTAGACAGCACAGGTCTTCTACATAGCTTGAGTAAGAGATTAAGGGCCTAGAGTGAAATCCTGGCCCCTCTGAAGTCAATCGGAATTTTGCCATTGACTTCAAGGAAGCCAGGATTTCATACCTGGTTTTTAACCTGGCCTTCCATAACAAATTACTGCAGGTGCAAATAAAACATGCATACCTCTAATTACATTATTTGTGAGCAGAATAAGGTACTTAAAAGTTTTCATGCCTAAACTTGTGCTTACAAATTGTAGTATTCAATAATCAGGTCCTTAAATATATTTGATTATGTTTTATGTTCTAGCCTAAATCCTTTTTAATTCATTTATTCTGACTATCCAAAACAAGTTCAGGAAGTCCTTTATAATCTTGAAAGTTTCCTAGATTTAAGACTTTTTAAGTTTGTTTACAAAGTGAATTCATTTCTGATGTTTTAAACTACAGCTGTCTTCACTCACAAGCTGTAGCCTGTCAACTATATACGTTATTTGCAGTATGACCACTCTCACCTGAGATAGGCTAACTCCAGAGGAGTTAACTTGGGTGTAGATAACTCAAGCTAACACTGTAGTGCAGACAAGCTCTTAGACTTGCTCCTGGTAACCAGAATATAGCTTACACCACTCTGAATTTCATCCAGAGTCTGATAAAGTCTAAATTGGTACAATTCACAGAGAAAGCCAGGATCCAGAACAGAACAGCAAGAACAGAACAGAAAGGTATAAGAAGATACAAGTTAAATTAGACCCCTCCAGCTCCTCTGTGCTGTTTGATCAGTTTAGACTCCCGTAGACATTAGCAAATGGATGTAAATAGGTCCAAAGGATCAAGTGTCTGGAAATCAGGCTGTCAGGGAATGGGATTTTCCTGGGAACTCTCCACGCACAGGTCTTGCCCCTCCCACAAAGGAGGAGTGTCAGCTGCCGCCATGGCACTGTTTCCCACCCTTGGCCAAACACAGTGTGTTCCACATGGCTGGAGTCTGTTTCGGGGGTGGGGAGGGACTGGATATTAGCCAGACTGACATTAGCTACCCCACCAGCCCCATGAAATTCAGGGTCTGTATTATCAGAATTCCCACAGAATTCCCATGAAGTCACAGGGGAGTCCCTTGTAGCATAGCTCCAATGGAACTGCACTGCCAGGGAGTCAGAGCCAATGCAGAGGTGTAAGGCCTCTGTAGATAGCTCTGGCCTCCTGCAGATCCCAGGTCTAGGGGCTTGCTCAATGGCCTACTCCACAGGGGGATGGGGGCAAACCACTCTTCCCAACTGAACAATAGGGGAGAATTCTGTGGAATTTCCTGCCCCAGAAGTCTCTCTCTGAGTTTTTCCTGTGGGAGCAATAAACTGGCCCAAGGAGTCTTATACACCTTACACATTCCCTCTGAATCTGGTCATATGTGGAGGAGAGTAATTTATCCCAGAGTGAAACTGCCAAAGACACCACTATTCATGAATTCCCAAATGACCTATCAAAGGAGGACTGAAAATAATTTCTGAAAAAGTTATACATTCAGCCCTTAAACCTATAGAAGAATAAATGTGAATAGAGAGAACCAGTAGCACTCTCTCACTCACTCTCTACTAAACAGTGCATACAGGAAGAAAAATGAAAGTCTTTTACTACACAAAATGTATTTAGCTTACCTGGAATGCAAAATATTTGTACAGATAGGCACCACCAAGTATCACACCAGCAAGCATAAAAGCCACTCCAAAGCACATACACCAACACCAAGCTCTCCTCTGTCCAACAGGCACCACAGCTTCAGGGTCCTAGAAACATAGCAAAGGGAAATTGTCAACATAACATTCCAAAAGACACAAAAGATTGTGGATGTACCGGTATTTAGTGCAAACATTTCCAGCATCACTAGAAAATATTGGGTAATTTTATTTCATATTTGGAAAAAATACTTCAAACTTATTCCATGTTAAGGTTTACAGCAACACCACCTATGGTGAGATTATGATGAGATAAAAACAGCTATAAATGCCGCAACCTCTTACTGCCATCTTCTTGGGCTGACCCATCAACTGGTTACTAACGTCAAAAGCATACAAGCTTAGGAGTCATGGAGAGTGTTCAGGAATGGTGAAGTCATTTGAAGCATCATTTCTCTCACAGCTGAGCTTTTCACAGATTGTGTCCAGAAAAGTATCCATTTTTAGGCTAATTTTTGTGAAACAATAGCATGTAAGGGACCTGGATTCAGAAGAAGCATTAGGACACACTTCAGTATGGTACAATTTAAGAGGTTTGAGGAATAATAAGCTTAGGGCAAAATCTGGCCCCGTGATATACGACTGTGATAGGTGAAGAAGAGGGAAATTCATACTATAACTCTTTTGAGCAATAGATTGCCAACTAGGGCAGTAGCCAGTTCCCTATATTACCAGCACAACAGAGCATTGTTAGGCCCCACTCTGTACATATTGTGCTACATGTGAGGGATGCACAATGCTCCTCTTTGGAGCAGTAGTAAGGAGTACCATATCACGCATTTCCTCCTCAAGCCATCCTGAGCTGGTGCTTGCAGAAGGACGTCTATGTCTATATCACATGATCAATACCCTTCACTTCCCTCACTTCTGCATAATTCAGGTAAACGAAGGCAGGATTTTGCCCTTGGTTTCTTAGGGTACATCTACACTGCCAAAAAAACATCTGTAGCAGCAAGTCTCAGAACCCGGGTCTACAGGCTCAGGCTTGCACTATGGCACTACAAATAGCTGTGTAGATGTTCCCACTCAGTCTGGAGCTTGGGCTCTGAAACATCCACCTCCTCAGGTTTTAGAGCCCAAGCTCCAGCTGAGCAGGAACATCTACATGGCTATTTGTAGTGACACAGTGTGACCTGGGAGAGACTGCTGGGGAGTTGGGGTTTTTTGCAGTGTAGGTGTACTCCTAGAGTCTAACCCCTTCCAATCCATAACACTGACAGATAAATGTCAGAGTTTGCATCAGCAGAAAGTAATTCATTATACCATTCCTACTGGAGACAACATAAGAAATCATGACAATCTGGAAGACAGAAAATAGTAGTGAAAAATAAAAGTGGAAAAACCCTAGACACCCCTTTTGCTAAGAGGAAGAAAAAGTTTTGCTTTAGAGTGATGGATATACTCTTAACTTTCAGCAAATACTTTTCATGGCTTTTGGGTTTGTTTTCAGAGGACCCCATGCAATTATTACAACAAGCTGTTATAGCATTTAATAACGAAATAAAATGTTGAAGTTTTAAACATCAACGTTCTAATTGTAACCTATTCTCTATGTTGCTTTAATAGTGGTGTACACTCGCAATATATAGCAAGCTTCCATACCCACTTTTCTGCAAGGTGACAGCTGTCAACAGCAGGTTAGAATAGGGTGACCAGACTCCCGATAAAATCCGGACTGTCCCGATATCGAGCAGTTCGTCCCACGTCCCGACCGAAGTACGGTCGGGATGCCATTTGTCCCGATATTTTGTTTTGGGCGGGTTCCCCGCCCCCCCCCCCTTGTTGCTTAGGTGGCGGTGACAGGCAGGGGGAGCGCCTTTTCAATTGTTATACTTATCTGGCACGTCCGGATCTTCGGCAGCACTTCGGCGGCGGGTCCCTCAGTCGCCGACAGTATTCGGCGGCGGCTACTTCCTTCTTTGGCGGCAAAGTTTATTACCCACCGCCGAAATGCCGCTGAAGACCGTCAGCGACTGAAAGACCCTCCGCCGAAGTCTCGGACCGGTGAGTGTAACAATTGAAAAGGCACTCCACTCCCCCTGCGGCGGTCCCAATATTCTGGAATTCTCATCTGGTCACCCTAGGTTAGAAGCATTAACAGGATCAAAACTTTTCAAAAATAATTCACAGCTTATGCTTCATTAATAAAAAAACTTTTTATATTAACTTGCAGAGTGCTGCAAGAAGCAAAATAAGTGCATCTTTCTTTTGGCATGTTTTCCATTTATTACAGCTAGATACATCACTGATTTCTGTTCCAAATACAGAACACTATGAGCTCCTGGAAGATCCATTCTCTTGACCTGAAATGTAGGCGTTATAAACGTAAGCTATTATCAGACTTTCTAGACCAATAAAAATGTTTCTATGGAAAGCATAAACAAATTCTAATTGAAGCAGAGTTTTTAACTGATAAAAATTCCCCTGGCAGCATTTGCAAGGTAAGCACTGTAACCTCTGTGCTAATGCAGAAGACCCTGAAAGTGAAAATGGCTAGAAAACAATATTAAAAATGAAACTGACTCACCACAGCATAAACAGTGAAATGTAGGTAGCAATTTTAAAAATCCTTTCAGTTTTAATTGTTAATTATCTAAGGATTTTTTCATTAGCTACATGATATTTAAACTGACATTGTTCCTTCAAGTGAAAGGCTGAGGATGAAGTTTAATACAATACCCATGGTAATTTAATTAAGTTTCAGGTCAGTTTCTGATTCACTGTGGATTCTTCAGTCAAGTGTGTTCAATTATAACTCTAAGTCAGGTAAAGCAAGGATTTTTATTATTTTTATATTGTCCCTGTACTAGCAGGTAATTTCATATCCCAAGACTTTTCAAACTATGAAGGACATCTACATACAACTTTTTTTTTAAAATGCTGCCATTGAAATTGCTGTAGATTAATTAGGAAAATAGACAGAAAATGAGGATTCAACACTCAGGAGAGAGGGATATTACATAAAAAGTTTAGCATATCCTTATTTTTAAATTATCTCAAAACAAACTAATAGTTTTAAGTTTGTTTTAAAGAGAGTAGGGGGGAAATCCAAACTGCATTGAGAGAGAACAGTCACTTGTCTATAGCAAACAAAGAATATTCCAAAATAGCTATTCAATTCAATTGATAGAACAATGAAAAAACTATGGAGGAGTATTTTACATTATGTACACCTATCCCATAGGAATTGAACTTAGATCACAAACTAATTTCTCATATACCAAAAGAACCTCCAAATAGATTGAAATTACTTTCAAACTCCTTCCAAGATGGTGTGAAGTTAAAACAGGTGTTATTAATATTCCTAACCTAAATATTTTTTTCTTTGATGTATAAATGATAGATGTAAACTGAACATTCAATACATTCCCATAATCCTTCAATGTATAATAGCTACAGTATATACTCATTCATTAGCCCGTTCGTTTATAAGCCGACCCCCCAAGATGGTTAGGTAAAAATAGCAAAAACTGAATGACCCTTTCATAAGCCAACCCTATATTTCAGGGGTTGGCAAACTTTGGCTCCCAGCCATCAGGGTAAGCCGCTGGCAGGTCGGGACGTTTTGTTTACTTGGAGCATCTGCAGGCATGGAGCCCCTCATGGCCGCGGTTTGCCAATGGAAGCTGAGGGGCTCCATGCCTGCAGATGCTCCAGGTAAACAAAACGACAATGTATTAGATATTCAATTCAATGATTCCATAGAGTTTAAAATCATCAAATTTTGGTGTAGACCCATTTATAAGCCGACCCCCACTCTTTGATGCGTCAATTTTTACCAAAAATATTCGGCTTATGAACGAGTATATACAGTAAGTATTGTTATTATTTGTGAATATATGCCTAGCAATACTGTACCAAGATATTTCACATGTATGAATTGATTTGTAGCACTAATTTGCTCACAATCTGTTGCCAATTTTAGCGCACAGTTTCAAGTACAGTTTGCTTATTATTTAGGATAGCACATGAGATTATCACAGCTCAGTAGAGCTAAACCACAAGTATCAGGCAACACTGAAAAACATTCTCTGTTAAATTAATGAATAATATTGATCTAATTTCCCTTTTTGAAGTGGATAATTAAGTACATCAATTAGGTCTTAAATGGAAGCACTTAATATTTATAGTTTTGGTTATGTATAATTTTATTAATCCCACAATGCTAGATTATACTACTACTAATTGCTTGCTACCCTACAACCAAGTTAAGTTCCTGGCACACAATACTGTTTATGCTAAACTAGAATGACCCAAGAGCAAATTGCATCGCCCTATTCCGGAACAGACCCCTGCACCTCAGGATCAATACACCTTGAATGCGAAATGGTGTTGCTGATGCCTACCCTCTGTTAGGGTGGTTCCTGCTTTGAAAGGGAAGCATTCATTTAGAGCAGTGGTTCCCAAATTTTAACAACCTGTGAACCCCTTTCACTAAAATGTCAAGTCTCGTGAACCCCCTCCTAAAAATGAATATTTCCAGGGATTTTCTCCTTTACTTGAGTATAAATTATAAAAGCAGTGATCTTGGAAATATAAAATTTGTTTTATGACATTATTAAATAATAATAATAAATAATGTGTATCATTGCAGTATTTTTATTACATTATGAAAACAGCAACACTCTTCCAAGATCTCACTTTCATAGCTTGTATCACTTTGAATAAGCCTGTTATAAGACAAGGCTCCTATGTTTCATCAAGGAGTATCAGATGTGAAACAGCATGAAGGTATTTAAGAAGCCAACTCAAAGAGTTCCTCCTACACAAGCATTCAGGTCTTGAGCAGTCCAGGCAAACAACACACGTTACAACAAAGCCTAAACTTGTTCTTCATAAGAATTTTAAAAACAATACTAGCTGCCTATTTAATTTTAAAAACAGCAAAAAATATCCACCTCCCTTTCCATTTCTTTTAAGAAGTCTTGAAGTTTAAATCTCCTCAGTGTGATAGAGATGCTTGCTTTGATCTGCTTAGCTCGTGGAAGTCCAGGGGCTCCGGGCTGCTGGCCCTGTGCTGCCTGGGGTCCCTAGGGACAGCTATGTCCACC